TCAATCGACCAGTTTTGGTAAGATTGTCTCCTGCTGTCATCATCATGTAGTGGTTCCATTCTCCTCGTAGTGCCACCTTAAAAGCCGGTGTAAGAGTAATAAAGAGATATATTCGTTGTTGATTTTGATTTTAATGCCGCCGGACATCATCGTCTTCCTATATTCAGGTGTGGGGTCAAGAATATCGTCTCGTAATCATATCATCACTTACAATTGTTTACAAAAAAGTACAACATACTGTTGGAAAACCAGTTGATTCCTACTTTATTATTGTATGCATTTTTCACGCACAAAACGTGTACCTGCTTTATATATGTAACCCCCCTACTTTTGGGGCTTGAAAATTTTGGAAAAAAAGGGTGGCTTATACATGGGGAAATACGGTAATCTAATTCTAAACTATTCATAATATGACAAAACAGTTACTTTCTTGAATCTCGTTCAGTCACTGTTCATTTGTTATGAAATACCTATGAAACTCGCTGACTGTCTATCGTGAAGGTCCTCTCCTGATCATAATCTCCCTTCAAATTTTGCAGATACTGCGTCCTAAACGCTCACATACGAGGCTTATAAAAGTACGGTTGATTTTTAATTTGTTTATATTACTAGTATTCGATCAAAAATTAAAATCCAATTAACATGATCTGCTGTTAGTATTTTATATTGTCATTTTTACTTTTTTTTTCCTTCATCCAAAAGGCATCGGATCATTGCTCCCTAGCTTGCTTGCTGCAATGCAGCACGAGGCCATTCCCTTTGATCTCAGCCTCACTCCTATAGCATCTCATGCTGATGCCGAAAATCTTGCTTTAAGTAGACGCAAGTCAATGCAACAAGCAACGTCATCTTCTCTCAGAGTTGTCGAATCCGCTTCCAGTCTCTGTAGTGTCAACAATAACGTTCGTCGTCATAACGATGCCTCTCGTCCTGAGAATGCTTTGACAAGCGGGCAATGTATGCTTGAGGCAGTGGAGCGGCGGCGTGGCAATCTAGAACAAAATCTCTCTGCTTTGGAGCGCGCCAGACGAGGTCGGGCCACTCTGGACTTGCTTGAGATGCTCGGGAACCAAACAGATCCGTAAGTACTCTCTCATTTCCAAAGTATAGTATCTTCTGTAGATGTGTAAAATCTCTTTTATGCTGCAGGGAACTGGTGGGTTCCGAGATTATCATTTAATCTCAGATAAGAACTTAAGCTGGCTCATGTTAATTAAGGTCATGTAAGGGGAGTTTGTAGAATTTCCCACAATAAAATAGGTAGGACTTACAATGCTATTGAACCTTACTTAGCATTGCCTCACAAAAACTTTCCTGATCCTCTAAATTTGATGGTGTTTTTGACTGGCCTTGGCCTCATGGTCGCCCCCAAAGAAAATTTATATCAGGTCGTAAACGTAAATTGGCAACATTTTAATATTTCGCTACACAGCGTATTCACAAGAAAAGCTTGCCAGGCTTTTCCCAATTCAACTTTATAGTTAGGATGTCGATAAATCAAATTTATATTTGTCACTATGGCATTAATAGCTACGAAAATATTTGGTTTCAAAGCTATTGGGGTATTTTAGATATGAGCCCTTAAGCGACCTAGTGTTAGTCGTATAAATAGCTTAGGCCATAGTCTAAACAATCAGTGTTTTATTAGCGATTATATGTAGATCCCACAACTCCTTGACGGTCTGTGGAATAAATATATCTGAGTTTTATGTTAATATACATTTGTCTCATATTACAGCCTTGTTTCTGTCCGGATTCTCCTCTCTTATTTTCAGGAACCTTGTCGAGCGCGCCAGAATACGTACCCTGGTCGATGCCGCTGTCGAGAGCAGACCATTATTTATCAAGGTTAGAAACCAATTAATTTGACTGCTTAATATTATCACATTTTTTATCAGTAAATATTCGACGGTTAGTTAAACCATTTATCACTTATATCTAAATTTGAGTCACACTTTTTTGCACTACAGATAACTTTGGCATTGGAAGCTCGTTTTCCGATTTTCCGTCTTACTGGCTTTTTCAAATACATTGGCAGGCATATTTGTGTTATACCACTCAGGGCCTGCTGCAGCTGTTGTCAGGGAGACTTAGTTGGACGCACGTTGTCCGAGGTCCTATACTATAGTACTTATCATAATTACCAGCATCTGACTGTGGATTTGGTACATTCCCAGACGTTTCGTCGGCATCCTCAGTCAAGGGATTAACTTCACGTGTCTCTTTGACAGGTTGTAGCTTGGTGTTAAGAATGACAAGACTCACTGGTAATGTCGGCGAAGTGGCTGGGAATGCACCGAGTCCACGGTTTGACGCTGGTAGTTATGATAACTACTATAGCAGAAGACCTCGGACAAGATGCGTCCAACAAGGTCGCCCTGACAACACGACCAAATTGCGAAAAGGAGATCAACCCAATTCTATACATCGAAAGGAGAATGCGAACATGCTGACGACCACACCATCTTGGTCATATCTTTGAGCAAACC